TTTTTTTTTTTTTTTGCTTTTTCCAGGACTAGGTGATAAAAACTGCACATATTCGTGTGTAGGTCTCAATCAGGCTTGCAAAACTAATAGGCCTACATGATGCCACTACCATTAGACTTTTGGCAAAAAAACACATACTTTAAAAAAAAAAAAAGTTTAAAAAAACAATACAAAGGATAAATTTCCAAAGTAGGGATTTTTTTTCTATGAACGTATAGGGAACATTGATAACAACCAGAGAACAACCATTACAGGTCCAGTAAAGGGCTGTCGTCATTGCCTAGATATTTCCAAAATTAGAAATATCCATCCCACTTCAGTTTTTGTGGTTTTCTTTTTTTGGCTTGTGCAATCAGTCAATTCAGTTCACCCAGTTAGAAGCATTTGTTTTCTCCTGTTAGCTAGCATTTATACACTTGTCAGTGCTTCATTCTTCATTGGTGAATACTGATGCCATGTCTTACAGTCTCTGTTCAGCCACTCATGCCTAAAGCTAAAGCTGGGTTTTAGATGTAATTGGCATCCTGCTAAAGTAAGAATTAAATTTAAACTTTTCGTCATCCCATATAAACCCTTAATAATATTTTCCCCATATAATAGAGCACTTTGCTCCCAGATTGCAGATTGCTGGTGATTTTAAAATTTCTAAAACAGAATGTATGGCAGATATATTATCAGACTCTTGTCCATAGGAAGACAGGCTGTCTGGTTTTGAGACTACTCTTTAAACTTTCCTTTCTGATAAATCTTATAGTGAGAGTGGCTTGGGTTATCCTAAACTATCACTATAGTTATGCTGCTGTAGGCTTAGGGTGCTGGAGGACATAAAACCACTTTTCCTCACTCTACTACATTCTGCTTACAGTAGACTTTTTATTCCATCTGCTTTCTCTTGTCAAAGTGAATCTTCATCTAGCCTAGAACTCTTTTTACCTGTTGCACCATTCTGGAGGGTGGGCTGGTGCTCTTATAGTGTCATAGGCAAGGCTCAGCTTTTACTGCAATTTACTGTATATGCTCTCTATTATCCTCTTGACCCGGCTTACAACTTATCTGGTTAATGGGTTTAATTCTTAGGCAAAGCCAGCTAGCCTATTGTTACTTTCTCTAGAATAGAAAGTATTTGTGGATAATTTCTTCATATTCCATTCAGCTAAAAAAAAAACAGTCAGCTACAGCAGAAGACCATCCACGCTGAGCCTGGTTTTACTGGAAGCTTGTTGCTACATGCATGCTTGGTATAAGGGGTTGCTGTAAAGTCAATCACACTATGCATTTAAGTGTCCTCTGTCACCCATTCTGCAAACTCATTGACTTGTTGCAATCAGATGGATTTTCTTGGACAGAAACCAATGACCAATCTTTCTTCATGGCTTGATTAAATTTACGCTTTGATATGCCTTTAGATGACATGGGTAATACATATTTCAAGCATAAATTCCAAAGTTAAATTGAACCAAAATTAAATTTAGCCATTTTGACTGAAAAACAGCACTTTTTATTAGGTGCATTGTTAATTGTTAAGCAAACTTCATGAGGAAAATCACTGCTAATACAAAAAGCTGATATCAATCATTGTTGATACAATTATATTTGTAAAAGAAGAAATCAATGACAGGTTTAAAACAGATGAGATGTATATGCTGGAAGGACAACAAGACATTAGTTTTTAGCTTTTGTCATATTTCAAGACAAATATGCAGCATGTCATTTTTGCTGATCTCTCCTTTGCAGAAGTGGAATGGGTAACTAAAAAGTATTTTTCTGTTACCTCAAGAGGAATTTAAAAATTTCCCCTTCTTCAGACTCAATAATACTTTATAAAATACCCGGGTGCATTTCATTCAGGAAAAACATTGATCACCAATCAATAAGAATAAGTAACTATTTTAATTCAGTAGTTTAGATAATTACATTGGC